CCACACCTACACCTTAGTACAAACACTTACTAATATTCTTGAGAACAACATTGTCTGGACCAGAAATAAAGATCGAGAATGTACCTGTTGTATTAGAATTAGACGTTGTCACAATCAATGTATATGTAATGTTGGTTTCAAGAGCAATTGTGAATCTGAATTGATATGGATGGCAGCCATTTTCATTCTCTGAGATTCTATTTTCATATGGATTGGAAGAATCGAAATAATCTTTGTAGATAGAGCCATATGTGTTCATACTGCTATTGCTGAAGAAAGTGTAAAGACCACTTTTACGAACATTCACTTGTATTGCTTCATAGTAAGAACTTGTCCTTGAGCAACTACGTAAATACGTTGAACTGTTCGTTGTCAATTTTGATGAATAAACTGTTTTAACAACTGATGAGGTATTCACTAAAGAAAAAGACAATCAATTCAATTTTTTGTATAATATGGAAATAAATATAAACAATTTGCAATATTACTTTCGCTCTCAGCAACATTAACCGAAAGCGACTGGAGGTGATATGAATCTTAGCCTCTTTCAAGCAGAAGTATTTGTATATCATTTTCTAGATTGAGTTTATCTGTGTTTTCTAACGATAACGAATATGTGCAATTGGTTATCCATTAAAATACTATATATACTCACAAATAAGATTGAAACCGATATAATTTGGGCCGAATACTTGTACTAAAAATTTCCCTGTTAGATTCCGAGATGTTGTTATAACGACAAAATATACCATCTTGGTATAAAGAAAAGCTCTGAGTCGAAATTGACGTCGATTATCTAAATCTCCATTATGGACAAGCACACTATTAGATACATCGAACGGATTGAACTCGTTTGTGTAGATATAAGCGTCCATGGCGTTCGTCTCGCTGTTGATTAGAAAAGTATAAAATCCATCCATAGTGATATTCATCTGTATCGCTTCATAATACGAATCTAACTCTGAACATTTTTGAAAATAAATTGAACTATTCGAGATCAGTGACGATGAATACATTGTTTCTGTAACTAACGAATTATTTTCTGAATGAAAAGAAATCAATGAGTATTTACATTTACAATACAGAAAAGAAATGATTACGCATATTCTTAGTTTGCTTTTCACTCTGTTTACTATTGAGAGTTCAATCATTTGTTTTAGAGCAATGCTTTTGATAGAGAAACAAAGAAAAACATGAACTAAAATATCTATGTAACGTCCTTAGAATAAGTATCGATGTTAGCCTTTAAAATCCCGGTATCTGTTAAGAATGTCCTTTAGAAAATGTCCTCGGACGAAATCTTTCTTTGTTTTCCGTCCGTACATATATGTTTACGTGGAAGAACGAAAAATAAAAGGACATTTCGTCCGAGGACATTTTCTACAGGACAATCTTGACATGAACCCTAACTACCATCTGTATCATGCAAATAAAATGGTAATAATGTTATCGATTGACTTTTGTAGAGAATTATGAATAAGCAAGGTTTTCATTTTATAACAATAGTATAATAGGATGAAACTTGAAATTTAAATTTAACTATCCAATGATTCAGTTCTAAATTCATTAGAAGTTTGATTTTTCTTTTCATCTTCTATGTTAGTTTTTCTTTTTAATTTTCTCTGAATAAATATTGATTGAAATGATATTAGAGACTTTATTCGACCATTTTAAACTTACCACATGATTCTTCGATATATTCAAATTTTTGAATTCGAGAATTTTTTAGATCAGTAACAAATATGTTTCCATAACGATCGAAACTGAAACTAAAACTAAATGGATTATACATTTCATGGAATGGTAAACCTGTTCCATAACATCCAATTAAACAACGAAAGCCATTTAAGCTTGAGCCAATGATACGATGATGGTCTCGATCCACAATGAATAAGGACTTGTCAGTATCTAATATAACTCCAGTTGGACAATCAAGTGCAATAGTTGGATATCGTGATTTACTTCCAGCTGCAGTAACTGCATTTGATTTTCCTGACTGAAACATCTGAACTCGATCATTTAAACAATCTGCAACATATAAATCTAAATTCACATCAACAAATATCCCACGAGGACCATTAAGTTGACTCGAGTTTGATCCTCCAGTACCTGTTCCAGCAGCAACACTATTTGAAGTCATAACAGAATTACTTAATGATCTTTTCACTACTTGATGACGATCAAATATTGAACAATAAAGAGTATCATTGATATCGACAAACAAGCCAGAACATCGTGAACTGACATTCATCACTGAGACAAAGGTTTTTGTTTCTACCATCCATTTCTGCACTCGGCCATTCTCATATCCATCATCGATATAAATATCACCATTTGATGTCACGAAGAGATAATAGGATTTTATAAAATTACCTGAGATGATCTCTGCTGGGTTGACACTCTCTTCATGCCATATTATAATTGTGCTTTTTTGTTTATTAACGACATAGATTGTGTTATCTGTGTTCACAAAAATGGCGCGCGGTCCAAAACCAACAATCGATTGATTAGAAAACGTAATTCCATTAGAATTCCACGTGGCTGTTGGACAAAATTTTGGTTGATTGAATGAAACAGCTAAAGCGAGAAAAATAGAAATAATATTAGAGAAAAATCGTGAAGAAAATTAAATCATTAATTTATGTTTTTTTTTTAAAAATTCATTTAGATCAATTTTGAAAGAAGTTCTATGGTCGTTGTTGTATTTTCTCAGGTGATATGTGAATATCAACTGAGAAGAGGAGGAATTTATCGAAGGATCAACGGTTTCTTTTGAATGTTTTCTTGTGAAAGAAATAAAATTGTTTGAAATGGAAATGGTTATATTGAAACTGACTGAAATTCAAGTAAAATATCTGTAAAATTTAATAAATTATCGTATTAATATTAAAGAGATCGTGAATATGTTGAAGATTTAGAAGTATTTCATTTGAATTTTGTATATGAAAGAGAGAAGAAAAGTCTCTTGTTGATCTTTAATTAAATAATTATTTGACGAAACTATTTAAGAAAAATATTTCAAATAAAAGAAAATATTCTTTCTTTGATTCTGATCAAATTAAGTGAAACACATTTGGAATAGATCAGAAATTTTTGAATTTTATTTATCAAATTTTTCAAAAAACAAGAAAATCAGTTTATCTTGACTTTTTTCAAATTTGATTAGCTTTAATCCAGTTTTTTCTCTATTTTTTTCATCTCTCGTTATTGGAAATAAAATATTTTAAAACAATATCAATAGTCATCCATTCCTTTAGAGATGAGAAACAGTTATATGTAATTTACCTTTGATTCAAATGTTGTCTTACTTAAGAATATTCTTCTATGATAGTGTTGTGATAAGAATATTAGTATTAATCATGGTTTTGTACTCGCAAAGAGTTCTGAATTATCATATGATTTGCGTTCTTCCTTTTTAGCAAGTGTATTTGTTAAAATGTGTGAAAAGTTAATATTTTCTTATAAGTATTCCTGTCTCCAATATATCGATCAAGAATATTTATTATTTTATTGATCAATTAAATTCTTCTCTTTTACACAGATCAAGAAATTCTAATTTTTTTTCGTTTTCTACAAGAGTGAATGATCAACTTACTTAATAGGTCGCTTCTATTTTTCTACATAAAACTCTTTGAGTATATAAAAATCAATATAATTATTTTGTAAGCCATAATATTTTTTATATAATGGAGATGATTTGTATGGAATTAAGAAAACTATATCTTGACAAAATTTTGTTTTTATTCACATTTACTTATTGATCTTTTCTTTTTTTGATTTTGATTTCATCTGAAAAAGTCAATTAACTCTCTTTTCAATGTGTTATAACGGGATATATGATAGAATAGATTTTATTTCTTTCTGTTGTTTCTGATTCTCATCTCAAGATCTTCAAATGAATTTGATATTGAGAGGAAATTTCACTAGTGTTAAATTTGAAAACTGAATTTAAATGTTCAAATTCTCAATCCTTTAAAAATTATCAATCGATACAAATTCAGACATTTACAACACTATCGATCAGTATTTTAACTTATACTTTCATAGTTAAAGCATACCATTCTTCAAGCTATACAAAAGCTTCGGATAGCTGCTGCATACATTCAGATTCACATTGATGCCTTCTTAATCAACGAGGCATTCATTCGCCATCGTCCTTTTCTATCGATGAAACAGTTTCTATTACATCACAGAACGAAATACAACGTTGTTGAAGCTGACAACGCAGCACTCTAGTCATATATACTATCATCTATGCCAACGATCTGCACTCATCCAATACCACTGTTCTCATCTGCTGCAAAAGCCTACTGAACTTTATCACCGTCTATATTCTCACTCAATTTTTGCACTCTCTAAATCCTACTTACATATACTCACATCTACGAGACACTCATGATCCTATTCAGTACTCGAAAAAAACTTAAACTTGTAGCCACCGTCAAGACACAAAACCAAAAGCTTGACGATGATTTTTATTATGAAATAAACCATGTCTAGAAACAACTGCTCAATCTATTTATTTTTTCTAATGACTGATTCAAAGACTCCTCCAATGTGATACAGATATAACTCATATTTTATCACTGGTAGTTGTGCAAAGATTTCATAACTTTAAAGCAGTTTAAGAACAAAATAAATCGCTCTGGATAGGTTTATTCTCTAAATAGATTTACTTGAATCTAGAAGAAATCAGAATCATCATCTTTGGATAAATAAGAAAGATCTTACTGAATTTTTTTCAAGTACTATCATCTATAATTTGACTCTCTTCTGTTTAATTAAAACTTTAATGAATAATGTCGCTTGTGCAATGACTGATCTTCAATATATGATAAGTAAAAATATCTACCTGATGTTTCACTGTTGAGAAGGGTGTGGGTGGGTGTGTGAGTGGGTGCGGGTGTGGGTGCGGGTGCGGGTGTGGGTGCGGGTGTGGGTGTGGGTGTGGGTGTGGGTG